TTTGTACTAGGTGAATTGGGGGAAGGGGAGGGAAAATGGGGAACAAGGGAGTCTCAACTCCAATAGTGTGAGTGAAACACTCACATAGTAACCAGATGAGCTACGCACCAAGGTTCATCTTATTAGGATTCTTTGATCCAATACAATCTCATGTTTAAATTTTGAATTAGGTAAGAAGGGATGTAGAAAAATGAGAGTTATTCTCTTTTGTATAATACTCTTTTTGTTCAATAATAATGGTTTTAATTTGACATTTTAACTTTTAAGATAAAAGTTTAAGTGAAAATTTGATATAGGAAATGAATTATGTCAATCGAAAATTTATTTTCCTACGTGTCATTTCTTTTAGTAATTAAAAAAAATTCAATTTTCATTTATGTGAAATGTTAAATTTTCATTTCAAATTTTTTATCTTAAAAGTAAAATAAATCAAATTGAAATTAAATGTACAAAAAATCTACTTGAAAAATGATAGAAAATAATATTTTTGTCTATTGTTTTTTACAATATGATGTGATATTTTATAATTAATTTATTTTATTCATGACCTATGTGAATTGATACGTATTTTCTCCTTTAATATTATGTTATATTGTAAAAAGTATTTAAAAAATATAAAAATAATTAATTACAATGATATATGATATTATAAATTTACAATTATAATGTATCATTATGTAAGTAAAATAGAAAAAAAAAAAACTTGTAGCATTTTATACATCCAATCATCAATTATATAATAAGAGATAACTGATTAGTCTCCCTTCCCACTCCCCTTTTCTCCCATCCTAGTATGCAAACTTATAATCTTTAATATAAAAACTCAAACTCTTAACCAGTTTGACATTACCAAATGGACAAAACCTTAGCTATTAACAAATGTTTATTACTTAACAGTTTATAAGTTAATATTTCTAAAAATCTCAACTAATTGTTTAAGATAAACAAAAGTTACCCCTTTCATCCCATATTTATAAATCTTTTATATCATATTTTAAAGGAGACATTTTTTTAGCTTTAATTTTATCATTATCTCTATTAACTTTAATTTTTTATCCTACCGAAAAAGTCCCTTTTTTATTATTTCCTTTTTAAGAGTAATATAGATAAAATTGTAAATTGTCCCAAATTTTTAATTCAAAGATAAAATAAAAAAAATCTAGTATTCTATAACAAAAGAAGTATAAATTAATAAAATCAGACCAACAAAACGCATATCTTACATGTTTTAAACAAAATTTAGTAATAATCTCATTTTGTTAAAGAATAAAAAATTTTAAATTCAAATTATATAACATACGGTAGGGTGGGATAAAAAATAAAAAAAGTTACCTCCAATTGTGTAAGCAAAATTTAAAAAAGAAAAAAAGAAAAAAATTAGTGTTACAACAACGATGGCGTTTCATTGGCCAGAGATAATACCATATAAGAACTTATAAAGTAGTATTCCCATTGCACTGACTTTATACAGGGAAAGGGACCAATAATTACCTTCTTGGCCAGATGGCCTAGCTAGACACTTCATTTGTTCTTTTTCTTTTTATATTTTCGTAGAGGCCAAAGCACTTTATGATAGCCATCATGTCTTGGATTCAAACGTAGGTTAATCTCATTCAACACCCCTTTTGTAACTATTGTCTGTTTCAATAAGATGAGCTTTAGAATAAGTTCAAGACTGTGTGAAACATGTAGATATTAGGGCTGTCTTCTCAACACAACATACCCAACTAAATGGGTTTTGCATTTGCTCTAGACAGAGCGAGAGTGTGTAACGGCAACAGCTCATGTTGGTCTTGACTCTTGTCTGAGACAATATTCCAAGAAGGAAAGGCACTTTCCTTCAGAATATGACATGTCAGGCCAAAAAATAATTGGGGTATGACATGGAAAACTGTCAGCTCCTCTTCAATGTGAAGTCTAACCGCATCAGCTTTCCTCCCATATATCCAAAATTTTATGCTTTTTTGAAGAAAAAAGGAAACAACACCCCTCCTTTTCCTTTCCTTTCCTTTCATACTAGTCCTTTTTCAATCAATTCACCTTGCAGAAGGAACTCCCAGCACCTCTAAGAAGGAAATTACCATTGAAATGTTGCCACATGGGACCAATAATTGACGTGAAAGCATCTGATTCTTCTGGGTAATCGTGGGTTTGGCATAAGTACACCTCGATAAAGCTCTGAAGCAGAAGCAAAAGCAAGAGCAAAAGAAAAAGCTTTCTGGGCATCTTCCAAAATTTTCAAAATAGTCTTTTATGCCCCAAATCCTTCCTTTCTTATTCGCCCATAGATTCTTTGCTTTCCATCTATCCGTTTTCCGACCGCTCTTCGCAGAACAAACGAAGCCATAATACCTATCAAGAAAGAGGAAGATAGAGAAAGAAAATGTGCTACGCGTATACAAATGTGTCATCGGGTGGCCAAGAGGGGTTGGTGTTGGGGCGGCGATGGCTGCTTTTGCAAACACCACCACCACCGATGGTCATCACCACCGTGCGTCATGCGCCAAGAATGGGTGGGGCTAGGGAGACTGGTGGAGGTGGCTCGATTAAGCAGTGCGTGTGCTCGCCGTCGAGGCATCCAGGGTCGTTCAAGTGCAGGCACCACCATGCTAAGTATGTCTGGGGCGGCAGACTAGTTGATAAGAAATGAGTTTGGGGATTCGGTTCGAAGTCTTAATATGATGGTTGTAAATGTTATTTTAGTTTGCTGATATACAGACTGTCTAGTCCTTAACGCCTTTTATCCTTTTCTATTTCTATTTCTCTTCAAACTCCTGCATGAAATATTATAAAGGGAAAATTAAATAATTTCCCAATATTCTCCATCTTTAGCAACAAGATCACTGGTAGTCTCATGACTTGAATGAATTGAATTAACACCCACTTTAGAGCGTGGCACCTCGTTCTTAATTTCTTCCTTTTCCAATAAAGAGATTCTTATAAAGGAATTGCGTCTTCAAAGAAACTAGTAACAATTCTTCAAAAAACCAAAAAACTCACAATTCAATATTGCCTTTGTTCAAACCCCTGACATTGATCATAGAATCGCTATTGGGAAGTTAAAAGGTATCCAGAAATCAAGGTGTCAAAGTTAATAGCCACCAACTCAACTTAAATTTTACAGTCGAACAAAATGCAAGTTAAATCATTAACCAAACTCTAAATCACAATGTAACCAAGACAAAGCTGAAAAATAACCTGCATATATGACAGGAGTTGCATTTGGAACCAAATTTTCAGATACCAGATATTATGCATATCATCATGCCCAGCCCAGCCTCCAGTGGCATGTAAAAGCTAGGCACAAAACATTTCTTTTCGATGGGAATCCGAACAATAAATCACAAATCAACTCATGAGCACGATGATTTTTCCGTCCATAGAACCAATCTTAACCACAATAACCTCTTAAGAAAAAATATGGTCCATCCATTCCAAAGCCATGTGAAATCGGAATCTTTCATATATATTTACAAGTGTGATACAGACAACAATGGCTTATAAATTGTTCCCAGCAACTCCAGTTTACAATTTTTGCAGTAAACACACACCGACCGGTGATTGCATTCACTTGTACAGCATGAACAAGGGGGTTAAACTTGACTAAACTCCAGCATCTGATTCTATGACCCACTTCTATTATATCAATCAGATAATATATGCCAGATTCAGGTACAGTCAGGAGGCTTTACTGTGAAAACCAAATCACAATCCATCAGTTAGCAGTATAATATATATTCTCTGTAGAAGGCTACAAAGATTTGAAAAAAAATGATTTTCAGTGTCATTTTGTTGATGGCAGGAAGAAATAGTGATGCTAACCCCAGCCTGTATTCTCCCTAGGTGATTATAAACCTCAGTATTGTAATTTTAGTTCGAATTTGAAAGAACTTTATCATTGTAGCAGGAAAAGTCAATGTCAGATTAGTGGCTGCTTTACCATTATGTGAAGAAAGAACTCCAGTGCATAAATTTTATGGTAGAATTCAATATTTCTCTTCAACTTAGTATCTCTACAGACTCACTGATTTGCATACTTAATAAGATGAGAAATAATTGAGAACAACATTAAGTAAAAAAGGGGTCCCTCACCTCAGGATAGCAATCTTGGTGGACTATTGTCTGGTTGTTCGTATTTACATACACCTCACATGATACTTTAGCCTAAAACATCAGAGGAACACAATTTAAAAATCATTGAAACAAAACTCCAGCATACAAAATGATTAAGAAAGTAGGAACTGAAGTGAAACAAGAAAGGTAAAAAGCATTGTCAATAAGCAGATTATAACCCAACAAACAATTATCACTACCCCTCCCAAACAAGAAAAAGATCTGCATTTTTTTTTTTCCTGAAATGCTATTTAAGAATGATATAAGCAATGCCATCATTAAAAAATGGATTTTGAAACACAGATTCAGTGATCCATTCCTTGGTTCAGAGTTCAGATCATTTAGCCGACTAACTTGAGGACCATATCATACCAATCAAGGCCAAATCAAGGGTCTATTTTGTCATCTCTAGTTAAAGCATGTAGACTTGCTGAGGAAAGAAATTTTGATGAGAGTCATGAGACAACTGATTTTGAGAAGAAAATATAAAGGAAACAAGGCTCACTAAGTTATTCAACTTATTTCTCTATCCCCCATTAGCTTCATCACCTTCATATTTAATCAGCTAGGTTGTCATCAACCAACCCTTAGAACTAACAAAATTTGCAAGCCAAACCATCAGTATTGTATGTACTTTTATGCGAAGAGATGGAGCAACAAAGCATTCTCTCCTCTACACAGATGAGCAGCAACCGCTCAAACTAACCAAGTTTAGGACACTGCTACGTTTCCTCTTAATGCTGCATTCATATGCAGATGCAGCGCACAACCACCCAATTTTTTACATTAAACAAATTCAATCCCTATTGAATTTCTCCTAACATGGTTTGCTAGAAGGGATTACAATCCATTTAAAACATTCAACCCCTATTAAATTTCTCCTAACATGGTTTGTTAGAAAGGATAACAATCCATTTAAAACGTTCAATCCCTTGTGAATTTCTCCTAACATAGTTTGCTAGAAAGGATAACAATTCATTTAAAACATTCAATCCCTATTGAATTTCTCCTAACATGGATTGCTAGCAAGGATAACAATCCATTTAAAACATTGAGAAAACATCAATTCATAATTTAATCTGAGAAAATAAAAAATAAAATGATGTGAATTCAAATTAAACTAAATTAATCCACAACAAAATCAATGATTTTAAAAGGAAACAAAATCAAATTCAATGATTAAACAAAGGACAAGCAGATTACCTTTAGAGGAATTTTGAAGAAGAAGAGACCAAGCAGTCCTTTGACCTTCGTATCAGTATCAAACGGAATAACACCCCTCGCCCAATCCTCGATCAAGTAAATTGCATCCTGAATGACCTCCAGGCCGTCGAGATCAAGAGTGGTGTTGATATAGGAGGTTGCTCTGGCCCTAACGCGGCCCCCTTCGGAACTGAAAAACCCTAGCTCCGTCCCTCTGTATCCAACCGAAGCCACAAGGCGATCGTAGTACAGAGAAAAGAAGTCCCTGTTCTGGACCTTGAAGGTGAGGGAGAAAGAGAGATCGAGAGTGAGTTTAAGGGGCGAGTTGACTCGAACATTGTTGAGTCGGAGACGCACGAGTTGGAGATCAGGATCGGAGGGGTAAAGGAAGAAGACGGCCGCGGAGAGGAAAAGGAGAGCGGCGGTAAAGGACAGGCAAGGGCGGCGATAGCGGCGGACCGGGTGTTCATAATAGACGGGGAGGATAATGACGGTTTGGTTGGGATTTGGGAGGAGAGGGGCGTGGGCGTAAGGTACAGAGTTCCCCTTCGACATCTTCGACATAGGAGA